GTATTTCTTCAAAGTGACTTCCATTGCAGTTAAAGTATACATTATATCAATCCATTCCCTGCCAATCGAATTGGAATGCTATCTATATACACTACCATTCAAAAGTGTGTGTGTGTGTGTGTGTGTGTACTGTGCTTTTGAACTTTCTATTCACCAATGAATCCTGCAAAAAATGTTTAAGCAGCACAACTGTTTTCAACATTGATAATAGGACATGTTTCTTGAGCAGCAAATCAGAATATTAGAATGATTTCTGAAGGATCATGCACTCTAAGAAATATTGTTTGGACGCAACAAAATGCAACATGCAACAGTTTGCATCAATTTTTTTGAGTTAAGGCAACTTCTTCTGAAATTAAGTTCAACTAATAAACTATATTGTGCTATATATACTTAGAAAATTGTGTTAAAACTAACAATTATTAAGTTGAATACTCATAAAAATTAAGTTGTTGTAAGTTGTTTTTTCACATTGTTTTAAATTTGATTCAATCATGGACACTGGTTACAAAAACTACTAAAATATTATTTTTTGATGAAACAACACTTAATGCTGCCAGGAAACCAATCTTTTAGCATTTTCAACCAAATGCCTTCTGATTGAAACAGCATGTAAGACAATGTCCAGTGAGTCTGTTCTCAACCTAAGCAAACGCTCTACTCTTCAGCACAATGGTAATCTCATAAAAACCACCAACATAACAGAAACACATTTAAATACTAAAAGAACCGAACACTGAACATTAATAAATCTTCTCCTGTTCTGATCTTGAATAGAAATGCATAAAATATGAGTTTATTTCTACATTACTGCTCATTATTCAGTCATATGCAAAGCATGCTGGGAACCTGAAACGTGAACTTGAAAAAATGAAGTTATGGAGCTAATTACATTGAGTTAGTACAACTTAAATAATGTTTTAAACAAACTAACACAGATATTTAAGTTGAAGTTACACACAGTATTACGTTGATGTAATTATCAACATTAAGATATCAGGACAACTCATTAAAAAATGTTTAAAACTTAAAATGTTTAATTAAATCAATAAATTGGAATTTTTAACTTGCACTAATGCATTAAATTAAGTAGTGGCAACAGATCCACTGAATTATTTTTTAGAGTGCGTGACACTGAAGACTGGAGTAATGATGCTGAATATTCAGCTTTACATTACATGAATGAATTACATTTTAAAATATGTTCAAATAGAAAATAGTTATTTTAAATTGTAATAATATTTCACAATATTACAGTTTTTATTGTATTTTTGATCAAACAAATGTCTTGGTGAGCATAAGAAACCTCTTTCAAATAAATTTTTTTAAATCTTACCTACCCCAAACTTTGATGATAGTGTACCAAGTGTGAAATACTTGTCTGAAACAACATCTTTCAATTATCTTCATTTGGAAGCTCTTTTTAGCAAATATTCAAATGCATTTAATGAACCAACACATGTTATTCAATTACAGTTTACAATCGATTAAAAAACCCTAATTTAGTTTTCTTGATGACTTTAAAATAACACATAACAACAGTTAACAGTTAACAGTTTCTACTAAATCACCTACTAAATCACCTTCAGTTCTGTACACTCTTGCCAGATTTGTTCAGGAAATCAATCAGGTTTGTCTTATTTTGCCTTTTATTTGACAATTTAATTTAAAGATTTAAATAAAACCACCATTATTTAGCGGTTAAACACTGTCAAAGCTTTGCTTAACTAAATTTGAATGGAGCAAACATTTTTGCTCTGTAACTATTGTGCAAATATTTCTCGGGAATTAACTATTTATGATTGAGCCTTCAGGGAATTTGATCTGGCACAGTGTGTGTTTAGAAGTAATAATGCAGAGTCCAGCGCTGCTGTTCAAGGGAAGAGAACAGTGCTGCTGAAGAATACAAATGCAAGTATCTCTCTCTTTATCTCTCACTTTTAAACACACACACACACACACCTGAAACAGGGCTGTCATCCATTTTATCGCTCTCTCTCCCTGTATGCCTGAAAGATGGCTCATTGATCCTGTGTGTCCCGGCCCAGCACACCTTGTTCCGCTCAGTGCCTCCAGGGGAGGCTATTAACACTTTCATTGAGGCTTATAGGTGAGAAGTAACATCCCTCACTCCCATTAGTCTGTCACTCTCACACTCGAACCCACACTCACATTTTTAACAGTCAGAGAGTTAGAAGTGAGATTACACTTACAGAATCCCATCCCAAGGACAAAATGGTTTCCATCACAGCCACTAAATGTCCAGATCGGGATGTCAATCTGTCATATACCAGGTCACATAAATACTATCGCTCAAAGGTTTAAGGTCAGGATTTTGTTTTGTTTTGTTTCCTAAACTTTGAGGTTAGGCTCATTTTAATATGCTGATTTGGTGTGCATCAATCATCAATGTTGAAACACGTTACTGCCGTTTTGTGGAAACTGGGAATATAAATTTATTTGAAATGACCTTTTTTGTTAATAGAAATGTTTTGTAACATTATAAATGTGTTTGCTTTTTTTTTTTTGCTAGTTTTTTTGAGAAAGACAAAAAAGAAATGTTGAAGAATCTTTACACAGCTGTTTTCTTAAACCAATAGTTCTGTCAGGACCACTATCATCAAAGATGATTGACAATTAGCATTCAGTTTGGATTGGCGGTATGGTTCTGTTCTGGGCAAGAACTCCCTGCGCATCCATGCAGCCTAGCATGAGAGCAAGGAGAGCAGCGATAACCCCCCCAGGGTAAACAGAACAGAACCAACATAAATGTATTGCAGATATCGTTAAAGTTCAATAATGTTATGTACACATTTTAGAATCTATCCCCTAAAAAATAGTAATGGATAATAATAAATGTAGGTTTTTCTTTGTAAAAAAGTAGTATTTTTAAGTGAGATTTTTTTTCAGAACCGCTAGATTTAAATCAGTACAGCCAGCGAAGGATCAAACGCAACTGTTTGAACGAGCACGCCTTTTTTTAACAACCAAAATGTGGTTGTTTCGTTGTCTGTTGAGGAAGTACAGACATTCCTCTCGTTGATAGCAGAGGAGCGGATCCAGCGAGAGCTTGATGGGGCAACGTGGAATGAAAAAGTTTTTCAGGAGTCGCGGCAGTAGAGGCGGCGCAACTACAACGACATGTGAATAATCCCGCCATTCTAAAGCGATACCAAACTGCAGTGGAAACGCAAACCGAGCCGAGCCGAGCCGTGCCGTGCCGAGCCGAGTCGTACCACGCAGTGGAAAAGCGCCAATAGATAGGTGTCGTATTCCCATAGGTTGATGGGGATCAGCTGAGAGTCAGCTGATGCGAGCTTGACTAACGTGACCTGCCAGAACTAACGCTACGCTAGATTTCATTGTGACCATGCCTGTCAAGCTCTAAAATCATCATAAAAGTAGTTTGTATGATTTGTGCACTAAATTTAAAGTCACATTATAACACTTTCTGTTTTAAAAAGACAAAATAACAGCATATAGGCTTTGATTCAAGCATGAAATGCATTTCACAACATCAGGGAAAGTAAATGACAGAATTACTTTTTGGGGTAAATTAATCATATAGATAGAAGCCAAATTCAAAATGGTTTGCATTTGCAGTTCAATCCAGATGTAGTGTACTTTATGGAAATGACACGTATCAAAATAATGCCTATTAAATGCATGCCTCACAATAATGTAAAATGTGTGGTCCTCCCATAATGCACCTTTCTGCTGCCATCTGGATGTCATTTACTGATTGTACTTGTTGTTTCATGCATATATATCTCTCTCTGCCTCGTTAAAGCCTATTAACAAAAAACACACAGTCAGAAGAGAACATAAGACCTCTAAAAAAATCAAGAGACAATCGGCCAATCAGAGGCGTTCAGATGAGTCATCGCTGAAACGCAGGTGTTTTGTTCACTGACTGAATTCTGCTCTCTGGCAAATTAATTCTCTCATCAGAAACAACGAAGTGCAGATGTGCGAACGATGTAAGTAAGATATGCATTTCACAATGTAAACAGCTTCAGTGATTATAATGGGAGTTTTTGAGAGTGTTTGAACTCTGGCTAGACTGAAGTCAATGATAATGTTCTTTGATAAAATAAATGTTATTTGCTCTCTTTCTGTACAATGAAATTGTTATAATTAGTAACTTACAATGTTTTTTTAAATTAAATTCATGTTAAATACAAAGTCAATCCTATTAAAAATATGTTATGGCATGACACCCATATCTGGTAGGCCTACTTAAGTAAAAAAGACAGGTTTTATGTGTAGTTAATTAATAGAGTACACTAACATTAGTCTACTTTGCCCATCGCCCGTTATAGATCAACTAACATGATTTATAAAGGTACAAAATGCATGTACTTACACATATTTGAGAATCGAAATATTCCACGATATAGTTAACGTGTGGGATTATTTCAAATAAAAAAGGAAAAATTGAATAAAACATAGCCCCCCGTGCCCCCTCAAAAATAATAAGTGCATGACGCCCCTGCTCTGAGAGGCTGTTGAAGGCTCTTCTGGCTGATTTCATGTCAAGCTGAAAGCTCTGTGCTGCCTGTCCAGGTGTTTTATGCTCACTTCCGGTACAATTCAATCGGCTGATTAATAGCTTCACTTTGACAGAAAAGCTAAATGCCCTTCAGATGAAATCAGTTCCTTCCTCAGCCCACTCACAGGCTGTCAATGGGCATTTTTTTCCCTTTTCTTTGAATCAAGTATTTTTTTAAGCTAGGAATTATGATATTTTGAAATACAGCCTGAAAATCAGCAGTCTGCATTTTCAAATACACACAATCAGATCATTCCGGGATTAAATAAATGGAAAGCTTGGGCTCTAAAAATTCATAATTAATATAAGCAAACATTTTATTATACAACATTTGGCAATTTTTCCACACTGACAGTGTCCCATTGTGCAGAAAAAGATGAAAGTAGTAGAAAAAAAAATCACCATATTCTCCAATCAGTTTCCAGAAGATTAATACGATGAGCTGAAATTACAAAAACACATGCCAGAGTTGACAGATGGGCTCTTCCTCAGTAATCGAGGAGAGCCGTGTGGCGCTTCCAGGCTTTTCTGCAGGTGGCTGGTAGTGGCATTGGCCATTCAGGAGTCTCCGAAGAGGCATAAGAGGCACAATGACCTCGCCCAACAGCTGCTGCTGGCAATGACAGAAGTCGGACTGGCGCTTTAGTCGTTTGAACTCAGTGAATGCCGATGTTGAGTTTTGGTACAGGCTGAGAGCTAACGCTCGGGCCTTTTCTGCCTTCGCCAACAGGACGGCGTGGCATCGTAGAACCACCGCTTTATTCTTCACCTGATGCCTGTAAATCCACGCAAAGATCTTTGGCCGGAAGGGGTCAGCACTGCAGTATGTGATACGGTTGAGGGAATAAGTGTGGACGGGCTTCTTTTTGCCACCTTTATCCACCCCCATGCGAATTCCGTGCGGCCCGACGCTGAGCTTCATCTTGGCGCTCTGTTCGCCGTAGTTGCTGCGAGTCCAAATCTTAGCCACCGCCTCCTGCATGCAATCCTCGCCTTTAGCCATGATGGTGACTGCGCTGCCCAGGTAACGCACGTTGTAGGTGGGTTCCTCTTTGTTGAGCTCTACTTTCTGGCGTTTGCTGTGGAAAACGCTCCCCAGCCATTGAAACGGACAGTCGGGAACAAGGTCCGGACAGGAGTGGAGCAAAGTCGAAAGCAGGGAATGATAAGTCAGTCCGGCTCCAAGACTTTTCGGCTTGCTTTTGGACTCGTTCTCCACCAGCACAAACTTACTTCTTTTCCAGGGCAGCATGATCCAGGCAAAGAGGAAAGGATTCAGCACTCTCCCCCAACCAGCAATGAAGAGTGTTCTGGTGTGTGTGGGTGTGTGTTTCTCAGAGAAGCACAGCAAAGGAGACTGCTCTGGCACACGCTGACGAGAGACTGAAAGCAGAAAGGCTCAGCTGCTCTGCTCGCTCCTCCTTCCTCTTCCTCCTCCTCCTGCATCACTGAGTGCTGATCAGCGCTGGGCTCGAAGCCTTGGCGGTCCTCATTTAACTCCTTCAAACCCCTGACTGTCTCACCTGATGGTCTGTTGTGCAGACTCTGACCATTGACCCTGAGGCAGAAGAAGAAGGTGCATCCTTGTGTCAGAGTGTCCTATGAGAATGCTTTGACCTGCTGGGAGTCATTTCTATCGTCGGTATATACCATCACACTGCCCAGCTCTAATTTATTTCATTCAGCCTCAAGAAAAACTCCAGGAAACGACTTTATGTAACGGCTGCAAAAGAAAGAAGGTGCTAGAACAAGCACGTTAACGTGGTTATTAAATGTCCAGGGGAGCGAGTGCGTAGGCTGCAGATCCTGAAACGACTGGAGAGACATTTGCTTCTTGACATTTGAACATGTTCACAATTGAAAGGATGAATCACTTTCTTATCAGCTATAATTTTATTACATTTCAAACCAAATAATAAGGGCTTATATTCATCTTACTTTTCTGCTAGACTTTTTAAAATCACTATTCAAGGTATTTAAATAAAGACTAAGACTTTCAATAAGAGTTTCCTTAAATCAACAGTTCATCCAAAAATGAAAATTATGGTACTCACCCTCATGTTTTCCCAAACCTGTGAAAAGCATGAATTTTTAATATTGTGCAAATTATGCATGGTTTCTCACACAAAGCTATCATATGGCTTCAGAAGACTTATGGAACACAAATCGTATGGACCACTTTTATAGAGCTTTTGATTGCTTTCTGAAGTCTGAAAGCTCCAGTCCCTATTCATTTATAATTGTATGGAAAAGAGCAATAGTACATGCATTAATTTCTATTTTTGTCATCATGAGGGTTTGGAACAACATGAGAGTAAGTAAATGATGGCATAACTGTTATTTTTAGGTGAAATAATCCTATAACAAAACCGTAATGTAGTAATGAATGTGCTTTACATAATGAAACATGTCAATAAATGTTCCTTTCCAACTGCAACCAGATTACAGCATCGCTATTATGCAATTATATGTTAGAGGGCTTGCAGCTGATGAGCCTTTTGTTCCCCACAGTCTCTGAGTCTCAGGATCTCATTGAGTTGAAAAGTATTGGACGGGTCGTTCTGCCAGGGCAGGTCAGCAGTTGTGCATTACATTGAGAAGCATTTCCATAAATCCGATAGACTGCGCAGAGTGGAACTGCTCCTGTCACTCTGAGATTACTTCTCTGTTTGATGGATTGGATCCTATTCCCAATCAGTCATTACAGAGATGTTATTGCACGCGGGGGAATTTTTGTGTTGATTTTTGTGTTAGTCATTCACAGAACAAAAGGTGGAACATATAAAGAACATGATGAAGCAGTTAACTGATAGTTGCTGACTATTTTTAAGCACTCGACTGCTCATGCTTCATCACACTATCTTAAATCCTGCTTTTTTTTCAAGGCTATTATTACCCTGTGTTAAAGGGATAGTTCACCCAAAAAAAATTATCATCATCATTTACTCACCCACATGTCGTTCCAAACCTGTGTGACTTACTTTCTTCTGTGAAATATAAAAAATATGAAGAAATGCTAGAAGTGTTTTTTTTTTTTTGGTCAGTATTAAAATAAAAGTCAATGGGCTCCAACGTTGTTTGGTTCCCAACATTCTTCAAAATTATTTTGTGTTTTGTGCACACACAGTTTTGTAATGACATGAGGGTGAGTAAATGATAACCATTTTCAATTTTTGCCCTGGTCATACTTCGATTGCAAATCTCATGAGACCTATTAAAAAAACATATCTAGGTCACATTATATTGCTATTAATGTCAAAAAATCTAATTAATTAGCATAAATTAAGAGCTGTACAACAAATATTATAATTATGTATAAATACCTCATTTAAATGAAAACCAAGTAATATGAATTACTTTTTTGCATTATGGTAATGAGAATTTTGGGGGACAATGTCACAATATAAAAACCATAATGGTCCAAAAATTAGGATTCGTCTTCTTTAATAACAGTTTGATTATTTCTTACCTTTGATTTTATGGTGAAATACAATCTAGCCATGTTCTTGACTGGCTTTGTTAGATTTAAGCAACAGACAACCAATCATAAACTGCCTCAATGCTAACCTCATTAAATATTCATGTCTTTGCAGTTGCAGAAACTTTTAGGTGCCGTTTTCGGTTTAACTCTAAGAGAAAAAGTGTCTAATGGCAATTCCATATTTTTCTGTAATATATTTCAGAAGAATACACCCTAATTTACTTGGGAACATTTACACAGATGGTTCAATAGATGTTATTAAACTTATAAATATGCTAATTCTCTGGCAAATTTGCATGCTGTTTATCAGATAATATTTATTATAACCCACAGTGGAAAATTTTCATTTAAATAATGGCACAGCAGTCTCTGCAAACAAATGTGCAGAAGACCTTAGAAAAATTAACTGAGACACATCCTAAGATAACATTAAAGGCAGGGTATGTGATTTTTCAAAAACACTTTAGAAAACTGATTCGGGCCGAATCGCAAAACAAACTTGTAGCCAATCAGCAATAAGGGGCGTGTCTACTCGTGATGTGGAGGAGAGCGCGTTCAGTGCATGGGACGGACATTAGCCGAGCCGAGCGACAGAAAGATAGAGATGGCGGATAAAAAAACAAAAGAGGAAAACGTCTGCGGAAAGATAAGGCAAGAAGTAGGACCCGTGAAAATATCGGATCAGCTTTCCAGCGCTGGAGAGAACTCAAGGAGCGGAGGCCTGCGATCGGACGCCGAGGTTGCTATGTTTCTTCTCAGTAGGTGAGTAACACCGTGTCTACAACAGCTAAAGTCTGACTACACTGGACGCGATCAAACGACCGTTGAAAACCATTTGAAATTTGTGTCAGCACGTCATAAATAGAACCCGGCAGCAGTTTTCTGTCGGGATTTGTTGCGCCGCGCCGCTCACGTCCGTAGACACGGTGTAACATTGGTTTTGCTTTGTTTCACAGAACTAATCGTTGCCTGGGTTGCGTACGTATATGTGGGGCAGAGCTATCAAAATAGGGGCAAGACCCTTTTGGGGTAGGGCCGTGTTTGTTTTGGTGTTTTCAAATATCAACATTGGCTACCAGAAATCACTTACTCTGCCTTTAACCTTGAGTTAAAAATGACACTTGGTAAACAACTCATTATAGCCTATTAAAGCCCAAGTCCTCACATGCCCTTGTCACAAATGGCAAAGTTTCCTCTCCTCACGTTTTTCCCTCAAAGCCTGACCCTGAAATCACACAACTCCCTCTGACAACAGTGAAACCCAGTGGCACAAGCAACAACCAACTTTTATGTCTATTTAAAGGGAACTGTCACCTATACCTCCAGAGAAGGCCTGAAGGCTAGGACACTTGTTTCAGTCCATTACGTGAGACGGCTCTTTTTGTGAGGAGTATAAAAAGCGAAAGCTATTGGTTTCCTAGAGTGGACAGTGATGAAGCCGTGTAAGCGATGGGTTACATGCGGCTGCTGTTATGATTTTTGACAGAAAGCGAGAGTGGAATAAATCTCACAGTGACGTTTGCAGTGCCTCGACCTAATGGGGATGATATAAAGCAGGGCTGTAATTTAAAGAATATGCCCATGACAACTTGAAAACTAACTCTCAGCGGACAGGGCTGGAGCCTGCCACGGCCACAAGCCTCCCTGGCCTTTAAGAGGATTGATGCGCGTGGTTCACATTGACGTATCTGCCTCGGGCTTTAGCACTGCGCAAGCACCAAACTGATGAATGAAATTGGGAAACATCTGCGGGAGGATCGACTCCAGTCACAGTTTAGCCTATTCCCAAACCCTTTTCTGATCAGACTCTAGGAAAGGAAGAGCATTTGTGCAAGCTGTCACGGATCGCACATTCTGTCCAGTAACAGAAAATGGGACACCAGCTCCCCAATCCAAGTGAATGCATTATTAAAGCATTATTAAAGCCTTCTGTGTGGCAGAATAGCACCTCATCTGCATATGAAAGAGGAGGGTGCGAGGGAAATAATTAACTGTGTGACTTTTACTAATGAGGAAAAAGGAGATCTGGATGAAATGAAGACTTTGACCGAGATTTACAGTGGGCTGTAATTTAACATGCTTATGTAACTACAAGACTTTTGGCCAGACAGACTTGTGTCTGGTCTGAAGCAAATGGACAGACATTTCAACTTTGAAAACAGTAAAGACTATGTTCAGGGTCATATTTCACCTCAGAATCAAAAGAAAGAAATTATTAAATTATATACAGATATTATACTGTGTATAAAGAAAATAAAACTTTTAAGGACCACTTTGTGCATTTTAACATACAGTGGGTACGGAAAGTATTCAGACCCCCTTAAATTTCATGTTCAATTATTCAGCGCACATTTTTTGCATACTCACAGCTAGGTGATGGGTGTCCAGTGGGTGGCAGTAGCCAGATGGAGAACCCCCAGAGTAGACCTGAAAGAGAAAAGAGAAGAGTTAGTAGTAGTTCACGCGATGTTTTATGAGACTGTGTTGTACGGAGCTGTGGCGGGATCTGTATATGATCGCGAAAATGCTAGCTGATTAAACGCTTGTTGCCCTCTTCAAGTGTGCAACAAAATTATTTACTTTTCCAATTTTAATTAAAAAACGTTTTCATTTTTTGTAATAAAAAACAATGTAATTAATGTATTCTTTATTAAATACTTCATTCACCCAAAAACAGTATATTTAAATTGTGAAGCCAGATTCCCAAGATGAATTATTGTTATGAGCCAGTTCTTTAAATTAACTGGTTCTTCTAATTTTTTAACAAAAAATAACGAGTTACTGGTTCAAATCAGTCTGAAACACTGCCTCTGTATCATTTACATTATTAGCAGAGAAATCATTTCTTTCATATGTAAAAAAAAAAAATAAATAAATAAAAATAAAAA